CCATTTCAGTGCTACACAACCTCACATCTTGCGCGTCACCGCACCCATGATGAAAGTCACATGGGACAGTCTCAGCACCTAATTGACCCTGATAGCTCGTAGTGCCCACTGGCATCCGCTTTATGGTGAACAAAAGTAAAGGTATACTTTAACTGACATATCCAACTAGAGAAAAATTCAGGGCAGCAGTAATTTGTCCTTTTCTGAAACAATTCTGCGGTGTATGCTAATATGATGTGTGGACTGTACATGTTCACATAGCTCAAGCATAAGGAGGTATAATTGTATCAGGAACAGCAGATAAGAGACTAGGTACTGCAGTTTAAGTGTGCTATGCTATGCATGCATGCTTGTGCAAACAAAACTGCTGCTCAAGTCAACATGTGCACCTAATATATCTTCAGCTTTATTTGCACTTGTAGTAAAATAAAGTATAATGCCTGCGGGTGCAGTGGGTCTATATTTCTCAGGCGACATTCTTGCTACCACAATGAAAATCCGTCAGCATGTCACTGATTACAGTTTCAACCTAAAAATGAGACGTTTACAACTCCCTGTAATGCCGAATTATAGCGCAGCTCCTGAGGAGGAGGAGTGGAGGCCTCCTCCTCCCCTTCCTCTCTTGTGGTATTTCAATTTTGCCACACCCCATACCATGCTAAACAATCTGAGATATATATAAATATATATTTATTTATTTTGTGGTATTTTTGCTCACCGCTTTCCAGAGAAAGGAAATATTGTTCTCACTCTGTCTAACCTCTGCCAGTGCCAGGGACCAGGACAGCAAGAGCAAGGCGGGAGATTGAGACAGCGTTAGAGTCAACACTTTGACGAAGCACGAATACTCTCCCCTCTCTCGATGCTCTCGATGTCATCCTACTTTTTGTCAGCTCTGTCGACGACTGCTTGGCAGTCATCGACAGAGCCGACAAAAAGTAGTATTTTCTGCAACTATGCAGAAAATAAGATAACAATTTTAGAAAAAACCTGTCTGGAAAGCTTGCCCATTTAAACAATACAGGTGCCCGTGCACATGGCAAGTTTGTCGAAGTGACGACGGCACCGCGTCTCCTGAAGGACATTCGGCAACTAGCCCCTTCAACTCGTACCTTCAGCCTCGAAGCCTTCCACAGCGTCCTGATCGGGTTCGCCCCGAAGTCTGTGTGCTTCTCATCTGATAGCATGAGTGCGAGGCAAGTCGTGAAGAAACTCATTCACGAGCATTCATATTTACAAGGATCCTGGTGTTATTTTCCTCATTTCAGAACACAAAGCGCCATATTGCACTACAACGAAAATGCCAACACGGAGCAAGCTGTCTCGGCTGACGGAGCTCTGCAATTTAAAATCAAACATCCGAAATTCAGAAAGGGAGTGAAGGTTGTCCGTCCCAAGCAAGCTGAGCCTACATATAGTAAGTAGTGTGTCGGGTACCCTGTTTATTTTTATATCTAAAAGGATGAACACGTTCAATTCTGCATATAAGTGTCATCAACAGAATTAGAAGTTGAGTTCTCCTTGGCTAATGACGTCCTAGGAATTCCTTGGGTTCCTAGCATCCCAGTATCAGAACCCATTCAATACTATATCTAAAATATTTACTACTTGCATCTGCAGGTTTGGTAATGAAGGCTAGCAGATAACTCTGGAGAGTGCATGGGCCCACAGAGACTGCTTTATTACACCCTTTTTGTTCACACAAAGTAAATTTTTTAGCCGGTGTTTTATTTTTTGTGCAAAGGGAATGCATGCACTTAAACCAGTGTATGTTCATCATTTATATTTCAGACTATGTTGACCTGCTGCTCTCAGAAACTGATAAGTGCTGCAAACTGTGGCGGTCTCTTAAGATTGCCTTCGCAGCGAACAAATCTGACGCCCCACCCCCCATGAGCCATTTATTCCCCGGGCCTTCAAAAGCCAAACTGGTGGCGACAAGGAGGTCAAGGTTTGCCACTGGCTCAGGGAGGACTTCTCTCTAGATCAGGTGGGCACTCTCCCTACCATTAGTCACTGCTGAGATTGAAAGAGAGGGGGGCGGGGTATAATGCTCCCTGTTTCAACACCACGGGCATTAGTTTATCAATGATTACAAGAACACGTTTTACTTTCAGAACAATTTATTGTGACTGACAAGTTTCCTCTCAACCATAAACATGGTAGAAGCTAGAAAAATCTTACATTACAAAACCTACTTCACAAATTCAAAACATTCAATTAATTCTTATTCCGTTCCTCCTCACATAATAAGAAAGAAGTATGTCAATTAGAAAACTGCATATGAAAATCAAATTAAAATGCAATATTTTTCAGCTAATATTCTGGATAGAAGATTTTCTACTCAATTAAATATGTTGCAGTACAAGAAACTTTGTCCTAACTGCGAGCTAAAATTATGCTTTTCGTGTAATGCTTGTTAAAATATCGCCACAGCCCATTCTCCTTCACAACGAACTCCCTCAGCTATGGTCATGTCACCATGACAACAAAGCGTCTTCTTTATAGAGGGGCATGTAAACGCAGCTTCTAAAGCCAGCAATGGCAGACGTAGCCAAAGTCACACGCACCATTGGGAAGTCGACGCTGAGGGCACATACTTGGGCTCTTTCGTCATGCTTCATGAGTGGGGCATGAACAAAAAGAGTTCAAAATGGCGACTTAATGCAGATAGCTGATTTTCTCCACCGCCTGATATTTTGACAACCCTCACACGAAAAGCATGTTTTTCTGGCCATCCGATGGCTGTTTGGTATTTAAGTTCCATGTACCAGAAGAAAAAACAAACTGCCAAATAACACATGGACTATATTCTTTCATTCTGCAAAAGGCTTCAGTTAAACCAATGCACATTCTCAAACTGCACAATCTAACTACTGTAAAATTCCGAGCAAGTGCCCCCCCCCCCCCCCCCCCCCCCCCGTGCACACAAGTCAAAATTACCTGCAAAGTTTAGGGGGGGGGGGGCGCTATCCCGGAACGGCACCAAAATTCAAGATGGCAACGAAAAAAATGTTCTGCCAGAAAAGGAGGAAAACCGCATTGCACATGGATTTAATATTTTATTTATCTCTGAGAACATAGCCTTTATTAGGCTAAAGATTTGTCACTGCTATATTCATCACTTTCAAAACCACCAAAAGACTCCTCAGAGTCGATCGCAAGAAAAAGTCTAACGGTATTCCGCAATATTTCCCAACTGCATGCCGTTGGCTATTTTGACAGCCTCTTCAGAAAGAAGCCGGTTGCTTATGGCTCTTCTGCACTTCATTCGCCCTCCAGGTATCCAAAGGGCACATCGTACAATTTTTTACTGAACATCGGCGTGCCGTTACTTAGCTTTCGTCGAAGTTTGACTTTCCCGTAGTTTTGCTGTAGCAAATTGTCAAAATTCTTGTCCCATTCCCGTATCCGGACGAACTTGATGTGTCGAGACGTCTGATGTACGTTTTTCCCGTTTTCACGGCCACTGTGTAAGAATGCATATCCGAACTGACACCGCCAAAACAAAGCGACAATGGCGCATTGCGACCGAGCTGATCAGGCTGCAAAGTAGTATTGGATTGGATTGTTGGACTGGATTTCGCAGGCCAGTGTTGCCTAGGTGCGGTCTGCACGGTGCATGATACGGGTGCGGAGATGGGAGGGGGCGCTTTCCCGGAACGGCGCGGAAATCTGAAATTAGCAGTGAAGTTCGGGGGGGGGGGGGGGGTTGGTTTTGCTCGGAATTTTACGGTATACTATAATCTCCCCTCCCCCTCAACAGCTTCTGAACAGCATAATAATTTGATGAACACTTTACAAATCGTAAGCATATTGGAAGCCAGTGTAGCCTTCTGACGGAAATCTTTCCCTTATTCTATTTACAGCACAGGCAGGGAGGACCCTCCTGTGATTCCTTCCCAGCCGTCCCCAAAGCCAGTGTGCAAGCTGGCTGTAGCGGGTGTGGCGGTACTTTCTGTTGGCAAAAGGAAAAGGAAATGTTGCCTTATATCCTTTAAATTTCATTTAAAGGCTGACATACACTTGCATATTCTGAGAAGCGGAGGCAATCCCTCCATTCGGCTCATTTCGGGTCAATCTTCTGGACATCATCACACATGGCTTGTACAGAATGTACTTACAGCGCTCATTAAGTTTAAATCAAACACAAAGACTGTGTATTCCTCGTAGCGGAGCCATACTGGTGGCAGTTGAGAAAAGGTTTCGTGACGTAGTACTCAACAGGCCATGTGGACCAGCTACGTGAATAAGCCATGGTTCAACTTCTTCCAGGATAGAGTTACCATAAGAAAAAAAACGATTTGTGTGTTCTGTATAAGTTTGATGAGCGCTTTATGTGGCAGATTAAAAGCAAGCCGTGTTTACATTCTTTTACACTCAAGCGCCTTTGCTCATTGTCGTGCGCGCGTAAATCGTCTGACACATGTGACAGGACTTTACGTAACGGCGCACATCTTTTAGCCAGGTCGGCCACCAGTACTTTCCTAGGATGAGTTCCTTCGTCTTTTCCGTTCTCATGTGTCCCGAGTTGTCATGAAAAATCGTCATCGCAGACTCTTGGGGCATGGCGGGAACGACAATTCTTTTTACGACGCGTCCTTGCTTCATGGTTTCTTTTGTGAGGACGTCATTCTTGTTGTACGGGCTGTTTCCATCGCGCGCCACTGACTTTAACTTCTAGTATTCTGCGTCCCTTGCCTGCAGGTTGCTTAGGTGACTGTGATCTCCTGCTATGATGGCGTAGCATGCCAACCCTTGACCTGCCGGTACCGTTTTGAGGATGTCTCCTTGCATACTCTCTCCCTGTCGTGAAAGGGCACCTGGTGCCGTGTTCAATATTTTGGCCTGTGAACAACGTCAAACGTGTATTCAGCAAGGTCCAGCGTCATTGAGGGAATTGGTCATTCGTTGCTCCCTTTAGTGCCAAATACGCCACGCTGAAGTTGTCTGTAAACACTGTGAAACACGGTACACCCCATAGAGAACTCTGTCACTGCTTAATACAGCGCCATGCATTCGAGCAAGTTGGAGTGAAGGTTAGTGTCGTGTTTGTTCAGCCATCGGCTTGCGTATTCAATCCCCCGTTCCTTGCCGTTTTGCAACTGACTGCGTATGGTTCCGAGGCCGGTCTGGCATACGTCAACGTGCGCACACGTCGGACAGTCTGGTTGGAAGCTCGCAAAAATTGGAAGGTGTTTGAGAGCGTGCTTCGGAGTGCTGACCCCATCTTGGTGGTCATGCGTCCACACAAAGGGTGTCTCTCTGGCGATGAGATTTCTTAATATACGAGTACGTGCTGAGAAAATGAGGATGAACATACGGTAGCGGTTGGCAAACTGTAGGATTGAGTAGAGCTTCTTGGCGTTCACGTGTGGTCGAAACTTGCCGACTGCGGCTACTCGAGCTTGGTCAAGCGTGCGTCCGTCCAATGATATTTCATATCCGAGGAAAGTGACGTTCTCGCGCACGAGCTGGCATTATTTCATGTCCATTTTCAGACCGTTGGTAACGATTCTGTCGAGAGCTGAGTCGAGAAGTTCTAGTGCTTCCTTGACTGTCATTGCTCCTTGCCCTCACATCCTCCATGATGGGCATGGGATAGGACGGATTCACAGTCTTCGCGTTCAGTTCCCTGTAGTTGTGAACCATCCTTCGCAGAGTCGTTCGGTGGTGCGGTTGATCCGCAACAATCGTCGGTGCGGCATACTCGCTCTCGCTTAGCTCTATGATTCCCTGTATGCCCGGGATACGACTGGTATGTCGTCCTGTAAATCGATGGAGTGTTTGGTGTGTTCGGCGTCTGGGCAAAATCCGAGCAATTCTCCATTTGTCACGAAGGCTTCGCTGTGCCGTGTGAGAGTACACCGTAGTTTGTCCGCTTCGGGTGTCGCATCTTTTGTCATTTCTGACACCGCTTCGTCAATGTCCTGAAGCAACTTTTTTTTGGAGTCTCTTGTTTCGTGTGGAGTCCCACGTATTTTGTCTCTTCGAAGGCGGTCTGTGTAGTAGCTTCTCGTTCGCAGAACGAAACGATCAATGTCTCAGCGGTTCTGCCTTTGGGATGCGTAGGTGTCTTAAAATCGCGCATGTCATGTGCGGATTGCTTGTTGTCGTTCGGTAGTTGCACGATTGTGACATCGTTCGATGAGTGGAACGTCACATCAACGTTGGCTTGTTGGCAGTCAGAACCCAGTATCGCATAAAAGGCGCTGGCAGTGGTGCAATAACTGTGTTGGGAAGCTGGGTTTGTGTGGCACCAAGAGTGATATCCAGCATTGTTGCACTTTTTGGCTCAAGCTTGCGACCGGGGACTTCGATGCGCTCTTGTCCGTTCCATGGGCTCATTCTGATGTTAGCCTGAGACTGAGGCAGGAAAAGAAGTTTCAAAGTAGAAGAAAAAGGAACAGTCGAGGATACGTCTCTAACACAGCTAAAGACAAGTTTATTCGGTCACCCTCTTATATACACTCCACAATCTTCACCACAGAACCTTCGCGACCTCCAAAGCCAAAAGATAACAAAGAACTCATCTCTTTCCACCACAATAATCAAACGACCTTGACAATCCTACAAAGCCCCCTCACCAACACAACCTATCTCCTCTCTCCCGGAAGAGGATCGACCTTCGCGTACATAGCACACCCTCCTCCTCTCCTCCCCGGCCCACAATCCCGAAACAACCCGGCAACAAAAGATACCAATCCACCTGATCAAACCAAAGACACAAAGGAGGAAACCACTTACACCCTTTCACAATCAACAACCACTTAACAAAACTCTCAAATCCGCAAGAAGGTTTTTGCACTGCTGCTAAGCTGTAACGACACTTGACTAATGCAGTTGCCCATTGATTTCATTCTTATTGTTTCCTTTACAACCCTTTTGATGTCGTTTACTTCCCTGTGTATTATTTCTGTTTCGGACCAGCGTGGTATACAATTATTACATTCTTGAACATGTTTCGCTATTTCCGAATCAGTCGCGTTGTTTTTTGCATTTCTTTTGTGTTCAGTCAATCTATCATTTATACACCTCGACGTTTGACCCACATACTTAAAACCACATTCTAGGGGAATTTCGTATACCACTCCATTATCACAAGGAATAGACTTTTCTCGATGCATTTTTGTGCATTCCCTTACACTCTTGTGGAAGGGCGTGAGCTTACTCAATTTATAGTCGGAACTAAAAACCAGATCAACATCGAACTTTTTTGCACAAGCCTTCAAGTTGTGAGAAATTTTGTGATAGTACGGAATTACAGTAGTTCTAAGTTTTGGCCTTTGCTTTGGTTCTGCTCTACATTTGTCTGCGAATTTTACGGATAACTGTTTCCCTACGAATTCATCCTGATAACGAGCACTGTTTAGCCTTCTCCACTGCCTTTTCACTGATTCAGCCAAGAAATGAGTACATGATCTGTCCATTGCATTTGTGATTAAAGACCTGACAATACCTGCTTTGACTGTTTTTGAATGGCAACTGTTTTTTGATAGCAGCGGTTTTGCGTTTTCTTTTCCATATTCCCAACATAGCCCTTTTTCATTGTGAATCATAAGCTCTAAAAACTGCAGTTTACCATTCATGGGTCGTTCGACTGTAAACCTCAGTTCCGGGGCAGCCGATCTGATCAATGCTTCCAGAGTGTCAGACAATCCCTCCCGAAAAGAACAGATCAAAATGTCATCGACATATCTTTTCACAAAACAGGATTCGGACGTCAGTTCTTGCAACTTATCAGATACAATGCAATCCAAAGAATTTAGGTAAATTTCCGCTAACGCCGGTGCTACACTCGACCCAATGCATACTCCCTCTTTCTGTAAATACTTTTTTCCTTGATACTCTACTATTGTTGACTGCAAGTAATAATCAAGAACGGCAAGAAAACTGTCCACCGATATGCCTGACCGCGATTGGAACCTTACCAAATTCATTTCAAGCACCCCTTTTACCCTTTCCAACAGACGACTCTTCTCTAATGAGTAATAAAGATCCTTGATGTCCATTGACAACATATCTCCTTCCTTTCCATGATGACCTTCGAGTACCGTGATCAACTCACTCGAATTTCTCAGTGACAAAGACTTATCTAGAATTGCATGATTTAAACCTTTTTGAAGAAACACGGAAACTACCTTCTGCCAAGTGCCATTCTCATTGATCACCACTCTAAGTGGCATCTCCGGTTTATGATCCTTCATGAAGAACTTTACGCTCAACGCTGATTTCGACAGATTTACCATGGTCTTCGCTACGTCCTTAAATTCGTCTTCCTCTAAAATTGAAAATATATTTTTCTTTAACTTTCCAATGTTTCCACCCCATTCTTGAAACAAGGATTCCATCGCTTCACCCATTTTCGTTTGAAATGACGAGTTTGAAGGAACCGCGAATCTACCGGATTTATCAGTTTGTAGCAATTGTAATGACCGATCCTCTAACTCTTTTCTAACCGAACTGACGACACGAAAATCCCTTTTCTCATTTGGGTATCCAATGCCCATTACGTTTTCCATTCTGCCAACAGCCTGTTCAATAAACGCCGCTCTTTCCTCATGCCTGACTATTCTTGCAACCGACTGTATAGAAGAAAATACATCCACCCTTGACGGTTTTACATCAATACAAAACTTCGGTCCGTTTTCCAACACTGCTTGCGTCTTCCTTGATAACATTACGCCACCCGGATTGATAACAGAACCTCCACACATCCGATCGAAAAAACTAAAATCCCGTGAGTCTCTATCCCTTCCCTCCTGAGATTTCATCTTAATGCTATCCAGAACATGCCTTCGTTTGACATACCACATACGGTTGAAAACTGTCCTCCTGATGCTGTTCCAAATGATGTAGTCCCTGTGCCGCTTGAAATCACCTCCCACCAGGAGCTCCCAAAGTCTTTCGGAAGCGCTGCGCATTTCTTTGATCCGGTGACTTGAGGCTTCTCTGTACGCCTTGAGGATCCTCTTCTTGCCGCTCCAATGGCCCCCCGACGCTGACAGATGTTTGAATGCAGCTGGGTCCACGAACCTTTTTCGGAGGCAGATGTCGAAATATGCAACCTCGGCCTCCAGCTTCGCCAGTCGACGTCCCAGTCGGTCCAGTACTTCTACTGCTTGAGAAATCCAGGCGGTCGGTGTCGTTGATGATGCGGTTGTACATGAGAAGGTACATGCAGTTTTTAGAGCTTATGATTCACAATGAAAAAGGGCTATGTTGGGAATATGGAAAAGAAAACGCAAAACCGCTGCTATCAAAAAACAGTTGCCATTCAAAAACAGTCAAAGCAGGTATTGTCAGGTCTTTAATCACAAATGCAATGGACAGATCATGTACTCATTTCTTGGCTGAATCAGTGAAAAGGCAGTGGAGAAGGCTAAACAGTGCTGGTTATCAGGATGAATTCGTAGGGAAACAGTTATCCGTAAAATTCGCAGACAAATGTAGAGCAGAACCAAAGCAAAGGCCAAAACTTAGAACTACTGTAATTCCGTACTATCACAAAATTTCTCACAACTTGAAGGCTTGTGCAAAAAAGTTCGATGTTGATCTGGTTTTTAGTTCCGACTATAAATTGAGTAAGCTCACGCCCTTCCACAAGAGTGTAAGGGAATGCACAAAAATGCATCGAGAAAAGTCTATTCCTTGTGATAATGGAGTGGTATACGAAATTCCCCTAGAATGTGGTTTTAAGTATGTGGGTCAAACGTCGAGGTGTATAAATGATAGATTGACTGAACACAAAAGAAATGTAAAAAACAACGCGACTGATTCGGAAATAGCGAAACATGTTCAAGAATGTAATAATTGTATACCACGCTGGTCCGAAACAGAAATAATACACAGGGAAGTAAACGACATCAAAAGGGTTGTAAAGGAAACAATAAGAATGAAATCAATGGGCAACTGCATTAGTCAAGTGTCGTTACAGCTTAGCAGCAGTGCAAAAACCTTCTTGCGGATTTGAGAGTTTTGTTAAGTGGTTGTTGATTGTGAAAGGGTGTAAGTGGTTTCCTCCTTTGTGTCTTTGGTTTGATCAGGTGGATTGGTATCTTTTGTTGCCGGGTTGTTTCGGGATTGTGGGCCGGGGAGGAGAGGAGGAGGGTGTGCTATGTACGCGAAGGTCGATCCTCTTCCGGGAGAGAGGAGATAGGTTGTGTTGGTGAGGGGGCTTTGTAGGATTATCAAGGTCGTTTGATTATTGTGGTGGAAAGAGATGAGTTCTTTGTTATCTTTTGGCTTTGGAGGTCGCGAAGGTTCTGTGGTGAAGATTGTGGAGTGTATATAAGAGGGTGACCGAATAAACTTGTCTTTAGCTGTGTTAGAGACGTATCCTCGACTGTTCCTTTTTCTTCTACTTTGAAACTTCTTTTCCTGCCTCAGTCTCAGGCTAACATCAGAATGGTTAATTTCCACCAGCTCGCCTGCGCACTCACTACAATACCATGGGCTCGTTTTCGTGCCTACGTAAAGCACCGCTGTCAATGCAGACTTTAACAGGCCTATCGTTGTGCAAAAATCCGTCAACAATTGAAAGGCTGCCTCCAGTAGATCGTAGAAAGCAGTTCGCTTGTAGATTCGTAACTGAGCTCTGAACGTTTGGTTTTGAGCCAGTGTTGCGTTCTTCTGCACGGAATGTTGCGCTCGTGGGTTTGTTGCAATCGCGTGACAGGTGACCGGATTCGCTACAATTGAAGCACTGTCGAGAGGGTGGCCTCTTGAATAGGCTGCTCGATGCGGACTCTGATGTTTGACGTTGAGTTTTAGCATCCTGACCATCTTGATTGCTGTGCCTCCATGCTTGGTTTTTCAGTGCATCTTTGACAATCGAGCATGGCTGTGCGTTCGATCAGTTCGATAGCCGTCCTGCAGCACTGCACGGCTAACGGATTAGCCCACTCGTCGTCCTTTATCCCGTTCAGTATGAGGGATACGCATTCTTCTATAACAAACGTATATGGTGCCATGTCGAGCTTTGCGTTTTTGGAGTAAACGTATTAGACGATTGAGTCACTTTCGACTAGTTGTCGTTTTTTTTTGGAACTGAAGGAATTTTTTCATGGTCATTTTTCCTCTAAACCACTACGTGATTTCATATTTACAAGCGCCCCAATCGTTGATTTTTGATCCGCATTATGATTGCCAATATTTCGCTGATCCGCGGAGTTATGAAACGGCATTCACGAGGGCAAGTTGAGGTGTCCAATGAGCAAGAACTGCGATACGTTCTACCTCGGCGATCCAGTGTTTGATGTTGGTCTCGATGGCACCGTTCTAGATGGGGTTGCCGTTGAGGTGTCGCTCGTTGAGTGCACCTGCATTGACTGCCCTTGTCGTGCCATGGGCTCTAACATTCAGGCCTGCGTCTCGACGGTCGTCCCAAGGAGATGGGTGATTTCGTGTTGTTTTCGTGTGGAGTCGACGTTCGAAGGGAAACTTCGGGAGCGATGATGTTGCTCTGCATGGGCGTAAGTCGCACTGGGATGTTGCTTGGTTCCAGCCGTTCCACTGTGAGGCTGTTGCTGGGAGCCGTTGCTGTGCCGTCGGGAACGTCTGATGCCTTCGTCAAAGATGCAGCTTGGATGAGGTGTTACATCTTGGCTTGTACGCGTTCGACATCGGCTTGGAGCTTGTCGTAGACTCAATTACTCAATTTCTAAGTGAGAGATAAAAAAAAGGAAATAAACTGTTCCTCTCGACCTGCACCACCTGACGGTATAACAGGTTTGATCCAATATAATATAAAAAATGAGGGCCGTAATTGACCAAACGCTTCTTTAGTCCTTAAAGCCAATTAAAAAGAAAAACAGGGAGACAGCTGAACATTGGCATTGGAACGAACTTGGAGAATCTTGCGAGCAATTATGAGTATTTGTGTTTCGTTTTTTTCCTTTGGTATTAAGTTATTAATTGTTGTTCCGCTTGGTCCTGCCTCTTGTCTTCTGTGTTCTTGACGACGAGGAAGTTGTCTTCTTTAAAATTTTCGTACTGGAATATATAAGAAAATGGATTGGAAACAATGTTAAAATTGTATTCTCTTTTAATGATTTCATTTTAAAATTAGTTATGTATTTCTAGTTATCTTGGCGTTCTCATGTATGTTTTCATTTTATTTCTTATTTGTCTGTCGCCTTAATTATTTTTTGAGGGGGGGGGGGGGAGAAGGGAGCAGAGAGCATTGTACTTTTTCGTTGTTTTTCATTTTTTTAATGATTATATTTTACAGCAAGAGATTATTATTATAGCTATACATACCCTAGTATTTACCTATTTACATATTTACATTTTCCCCCGAAGGAGAAGGATCACACTTATAAAACTTCATGTTTGCATCCTGTATTGTTATCATGTGTTGCTATTAATATTTTTTTTTTTTTGGAGATTGGAAGGAATGAGGTTATGTCTTGAAACAGACACTAAATATTTAGTCGTTTTCGTCAGTATTACTTTTCTTTTCGTACGTTGTTTGTTGTTGGTGGTCGGTCTTGAGGGGTGCAATAAGAGATCAACCTCTTTTCTTTTTCACTGTCTGTCTTGGTTGCCCGTTCCTGAACACTGTTGCTCTGAGAGTAGATGACTTTTCGTTCCAGTTTTATTGTAGATACTCTCGTTACTCTTGCTGAGAAGCCCAGAACCTGGAACTGGTCTTAGGTCCTCCTAACCTGTTGTTTGGGGTCTTCTCTGTGGATGGCTGTTTGTCGCGGGTGGTTAGTGGAATCCCAGGGAAGGAAACTGGCTCACTCCCCCTGATCATGTTGTGGGCCTTCCAATTGCCATTGATTGTGGTGTTGGTTCAGGATGGAAAGCTAAAAAGAAGCTCCGAACCAGGAACTAGTCCACGGCTCTCCTAACCAAAGATGGAGTCTTCTCATAGAGATGGCGTTTTTTTTTTTTTTTTTTTTTTTTTTCTTCTAAGAAGTTAAGGAAGCCCGGAGAATGGAACTGGTCCAAACCCCCCCTATCCACCACTTTTGGGTCTTCCAAGGCCATCGACAGTGTGCATATTAGCAGTTCAGGGTTTAAAGATGACTTTTGGTTGTCTTTTTCTTGGATTCCGTTCTTGTTTGGGTTAAAAGTTAGTCTGTAAGAAAATTTTTTACAGTAGTTTTTGTTTTTCCTTGAGATTGATATCTTCCATTCTCAAGTTTGTTACAAATACATATAATCATATATACATATATATACATATACATACACACATACATACCTACATATACATACACCCACGCGCACATATAAACACACATACTTATACATTCACATATGTATACATATGCACACATATATATATATATATTTATTTATTTATATACTGTGGAATGTTGTCTGAAATATGTTTAACTAACGCCTCCAGAGTATTTATATGAGTTTTAGAGTTCAGTAGCTTTTGACGAATATTCAAGTTTATGTGCGATATTGAAAGTTTTTGAATAGATGGTTTTGTTAGATGGCATGCAGTAAAGTAATGATCCATACTAGTACAAGTTTGTCCACAGGGACAAGTAGTGTGGTTGTGTATATTAAATCTATAGAAATAAAAAGGAAATCTGCCGTGTGCAGTTATAATTTGTGTGATGTTACTAGAAGGAGGGAAGCTAATAGGTATATGATTGGTTGATGGTATCCATTTAAATAATTCTGTGTTTTTGCCATCGTTTTGCCAAGAGTGATCCCATCTCCTACGTGCTAATTCCATTATTGTATGTTTTATATTTTGTTTTGATTTTGGTAGGTGTATGTATTGGCCATGATAACGTGCCGAGTTTGCAAATTGGTCGGCTAGATCGTTCCCTAAAATATTAGTATGGCTTTTGACGTGAAAAAAAGCCGTTGTGTTAAATCTGTTGACTGATTGGATTATATGTTTTATTTCGTTAATTAAAGGAATTGCATTGTTTGGATTTGCCAATGCTTGTAGGACTGATAGGCTGTCGGTGTATATGTTACAATGTAGCCCATCTCTTGTTGCAAGAATATAATCAAGGGCTTTAAATATGGCAATAGCCTCTGCATCGAATATTGTACTGTGTTTTGGTAAGCGATATTTTCCTATTTTTATAATTCTTCCATTGTTTTTCAGAATAACGAATGCTGCTCCCACCTGATCTAAGTACACTGAACCATCTGTATAGAGTGATATGACGTTGGTTATTTGAGATACAGTAGGGTGATTTCAGATAAGATCGACCAAAGGATGGCTAGTCGACATTTTCAAATCAACTGATGTTTTTATGTGTTATTGTCTAGTGTCTGGTATGAACGAATCCAAACTTAGTTTTGGCTAGAAAAAATACTTGGGGACAGGAAAAATCGTAAGGCATGAGGTGGTGGACAGTTGCATTAACGCGCACTGATGGAGGGGGCCCGTTTGAGAGTGAATAACTAAAGCGATAACATTAGGAGAACTCTAATACGTTTTAGGCGCAAACTATGGGCATAGCTTGCTTGTAATATAAAGTAATGATATTTATTTAAAATTTATTTATTTTTCTAAAAATTGACAAACATGCCTGCTCGAACGACAATGGCAAACTTTGGAGGTCTGTATCTCATGAAATAATTTAATCATTATGATATAATTTGCAGCTATTATTCTACTAGTATATAGCTCATATTTAAAAAATAACTAAGGTATCTGTGTGATACAATAGTTCGGATATATTTAGTCAAACATGGAAACAAAATCAAACAAAGAAAAATTCCGATGCGAATAAAAAAAAAACACCACCCTCGATTTTTTTAAAATTTAGGTAACCTATTATACTCTATTTCGGCATTCATTTCCATTAAAAACATGTTGCATCATTTTATTGAGAAAGAAGATACAACTCCCCAAAGTAGGGTCCTTTTTCAAAGCCTACACTTAGCAGTGTTTTATACAAGAACTGACTCTGAGTTCCAGTTTCATGAAACCAACACACATCTTTTATATATTTTTATTCAGATGAGGCCAATGATAACTAAAGAAATCGTTCACACACTTAAATTAAGGAGAAACTACTGTGTACAAAGAGGTATCATATTACGGACTAGTGATCCGAGAAAAGATCATGCAGCCATCGGCCACTAGGAACTTTGTTTACTTTATTCTCCTGCGGCACTATATGCTATTCCCTCTTCCGCTCTACCTTCATGTCTCTCTCTCTCTCTCTCTCATATATATCCCTGATATATATCCACAACAAAAACATGTTCAAGCATTCCCTTTCTGCGTGGTAGTGTTCAGTGGCTAGCAAAAATCATTTCCTCGCTAAGCTCACGATTATGGCAAAATAGTTGCCGGAAACCGCAGACGACACTCGTCGCTAGTTCTGGCAAAACGGCCGATACAATCTTTTTTTCGCATTTCCCCGCTCACTGTCAAGGACAAGGGGGTTCGCTTCAACCAGCAAAACATGGCCGTCGACGCGTGTTTACTGAGCAGTCATGCCTGTCGCCATCTCACTCGCTGGCGTCACGGACGATAATATCAGGCACAAAGGGGCACACCAACCGGTAGCATTATCCCCAAGTACTCGAGCCTCGCGTAAATACATAGAGTGTAAACGCTGTCGCCATGTAATCGTAGTAAGAGCGCCCCCCCCCTCCCCCAACGGGGGACTGCAGTACGCGACGGCGTACTAACACAACGGCGACGATATCGACATCGCGGGCTCCGAATTTTCCCATAGTTCTACTCCACGGGCATTTCTCGAAACGCTTGATATTGTGTACGCCCGCCTGGAAGGATTTCAGGCGCGTAGTTAAGATAAGGCGGTTCTCCGCGGCAAAAGAAAGCAATTTCACAAAAACTTAAAAGCGGCGGCGACGCGTGTGCGGTGAACGCTTGTAGTTTTGGTGTAGACAGGGTGTGTGTGTTCTCGTTGTTGACACCAGCCGGCGATAAGGCACTGCAGGCGGTAGCTCAGTACAGCAAGGGCTAATCCGAGTGACCATCAACGTAACCCCACCGCCAACCCCTCGCGAACCGGTCGCCGACATGGCTCAGGCTGTGCCATGAACCACGTGGTAGAAGCTCGGGTGCTTTCATATCAGCTCGTGGAGGGACGACAGTGCGATTCCGGAAAGTCTTTTTCGAAGGCCGCTGACCACAATTTTTTGTCTGGAGACTTTCCCTCTTTCTTCCTTTGACGTGGATCAAGCTTTGCCGACAGCCTCAGTTGTGACCTCTCTTTGCAAATGTACGTTTGCAGTGAGTGAGCTCCTCAGCCTCGGACTTGTCACTTGTGCACCAAGTAGTTCTTTCACTTGGCAATTATATGCCATCAGTTGGGGTTTAATTTCTATTATTTATGTATACATTATGAAGACGTCCTGGAGCTCCGAACGAGTGTTTTGTGCAGATTACTTTTGCAAACACAAAAAGACTATACCAAAGCAGCGGAATTTTCGAAGTGTTGGCGAGTTGGACCTAAACTGGTTGAAGCAAATTCTTCCGCCTGACTGTTCCACCAAAGTGAGTGCGACGGACTACCTGTGCTACCATTGCTTCATGCACATCACTAAGGAGATCTCGATGCGAAGCTCAGAGCAGTGCCCTGACATATTTGTGCCAGCTGAAGAAGCAATTGAAGATCTAAATCCCAGCATACTACCTACAGATGTGTCGCCGCTGAGACAACCAAGCGTCGTAAGAAGTCGGGACAGGCCTGCCTATGTCAAGAGAAAGCAGACAGAACTGGAGCAGGTTGCTGTCAAGAATATAAGCTCAAGGCTACGTATTGCGTACGACAGGGACGCACCATCGGGGTCGTCCGAACCATTATGCTCCACATGCACTGAGTGGGTGGACAACTTTCGGCAGGCCTTTGAAACCGCCACCTCTCTCCGGGAACGTTGTCAACTGCTTACACTCCTGCCGTCAACACTGACGAAGAATGAGGTTCAAAAGATGATTCCACAGGCCTCAATGTACCTCATCAGTAAATCCCGAAAACTCAAGGAAAAGCATGGCGTGTGGTATGAGCCGGATCCTTACACGAGGTGCAAGGTGAGCCCTGAGAACCTGTCTGCTGCCCTAGAGTACTTCACGAAAGACGAGCTACAATGTTCGCGCCAAAGTCCCAACCAGAAGGACGTCATCTCTGTCATGCTCAACGGAGAGAAAACGTTGGTGCCAAAGCGCTTCATGACACGCTCAATACGAGATGCCTTCCGTATATACAAAGACAAGCATCCCGATTCCGGCGTTGGGCTAACGAAATTTTATTCGTTGCGCCCTAGATGGGTCCAATGTATTCCACACCAGGAAGTGTGCGTTTGTGTGCGCTGCGCCAATTATTATCTTTGCATTGCCGCTCTAGAGAACGTTACAGGCTCAACATTCAACACTGGTGAAATGAACTCGGCATTTCTGTGCGACCCAGCAACAGAACTGTGCCTTCAAGGAGACTGTGATCACTGCCCAAAAGGCCAGTTTCTTACACTCCAGGAACTTGATATCCCGGAGGATGAAGAGATTGTGCTTGCAACATGGGAGTCCGGCGACCTTGTGAAAAAAACTTTGGAACCTGAGACTTTCCTAAAAGTCATCCAAGTGACGGTTGGAAGTTGGCTCCTTCACAACCATATCCGGCAAACGCAAGGTAAAGCGATCTACGGTGAAAAACAGTGCATGCAACGCGGGAGCATTGTGTTTCATTTTGACTTTGCTGAAAACTGGACCATCGTGCTTCCTGACGAAGTGCAAGCATATCACTGGAAAAAAAAAACAAGTTTCGATATTTACATGTGTAGTGACGACAAGAAAATCTACAAACAGCTTTGCCATCATCAGTGAGGACCTGTGTCACGACGCCGCTCACGCTTGCTTGGCTCTAGAAAAAGTGAAGGAGTGGGTTGAAGACAACGTTGCGGTATACTCGTACGTGACGTACGTAAGTGACGGCGCCGCCAGTCATTTCAAGAATCGCTTCCAGCTTCACCAATTTGCAAAGGACGATTGCCCACAAGCCCAGTGGTTATTTTCTGCATCTGGACATGGGAAAAATGCATGTGACGGAGTTGGCGGACTCGTGAAGCACCAGGCCACGCTGAACAACCTGAGAGAACGTTCAGTAAGCGCAATTCAGACGGCCAGGACAATGGTGAGCGTTCTATCAAAGAAACTGAAAAGCGTGCATCTTGTATATCTGGACGAAAATGAGGTTGTTCGGTATCGTGAACAAAAAAAAAGAAGAGTGGCTGACGGTGCGCGCCTTCCCTGGCATTCAGTCTTGGCACGCGTGGCGGCTCAGCAAGTCATCAACAGAAGGGACCTGTGACGTATATGTAGCACGGACAGTCGGATCTGCTTGGAAGCAACTTTATTAAATGGGTACAGCGAGGAAAACCTTAGCGTAAAGTGCCGAATTTGATTTCCCAAGGACTGCTCATTTTGAATGCAGGGACATCTTATTTATCACATTTTTCTTCATGGGGTATTTAACCTACTGTTTTTGTTGGTGGTTACTAATAATTTTTATCTGATCACTATAAAAAAAATCCCAAAATATTATCCTCGAGCAGGATAAAATATATCGGCTTGCCACGATTCATTTATACACCGAGAGCATCGAAGCTGCTCCAGTTAGGCACTATGGCATCCGTCACCTGAAATTGTTTGTAATCGTAAATACACAGCCAACCTAAATATCTTACTATTATATCTTTGTTTTTGTGTGTGGAAGTAAAGTTATTTATTTTACTCTAGATGTAAAATATACCGGAAGGTACAACTTCACACTGAATCATCTTTTCTCAAATCATTAGTCTCTAATATGATCCCAGGTAGCACACCATGTCGGCCGATACTGGGATTACGTCGGCCAGTACTGGGAGCTGTACGGCGGATCCCGGCCAGGGACGCCGGTAAGAAACCGATCCCGGCCGATATCGGGGGCTCGTTGTCTAAACTGGCCAGCGCCAGCCGGAAAGTTCCCGATACCGGCCGACATCGTTTTCTTGCTGTAGTCACCGGCCAGTCTAGCCGTGGAGTTTCCGGTGACTGGCCGATATCGTTTTCTTGCTGTAGTCGCTGGCCAGTCTAGCCATGGAGTTTCCGGTGACTGGCCGACATCGTTTTCTTGCTGTAGTCAGCGGCCAGTCTAGCCGGGGAGTCTCCGCTGACTGGCCGACATCGTTTTCTTTCTGTAATCACCGGCCAGTTCAGCCACGGAGTTTTCGGTGACTGACCGACATCGTTTTCTCGCTGCTTTCACAGGCCATTCGAGTCATGCAAGTTTTGATATGTAACCGACATGGCTTTTTCGCTGATATAGAAACTATATGATGGTTACAAATGACCGTTAGGTTGGACATGTCTTCAATATGCTAAAAGGTGACACCTAATATTATCCTTGGCCTAGTATTAACGCCGCGTCATCCTTAAAGGGCCCCTGAAAAGAAGAAAAAAGTTTTTTTAAAAACAGTCTGGTTGAGACACGCGTGTCAAAAAATGAATTTTACGCGAAAAAAAAAATTTTTTAGAGCAATATTGACTGCGCCAGACGCAATTTAGTCGGCAGTCACCTCCTTTCCACTTTTCTCTCTCTCGGCATCTCGGGCGCGTGGAGGAGAGGTAGTCCCCGCCTCTTCGTAGTGGATCGGCTTGGCTGCTTTCCTGGCTTGGCTGCGCCCCGCACGTGAGCCATTGCTACTTCCTGGCCATGTTCCAAAATTGACTCGATCTTACCCCAGGGTGAGGGTTTTGCACTCTTGGCGTTCTAAAACCTACCCGCGTACAGCGTTTTTCAATCTGTGCTGTCACGTGATACGATCCGCCGGAGAAACTCGGATCCATTTGGAGATTTGGAACACAGCCCCTGGCCGGCTGTCTGCCGGTCGAACGACATACCGCTGATACCGCGTCGTATCGTGCACGTACCGTGGTCACCGTGGTCGTACACACAGTACATAGTCGTCGCGGTGGACCCCGACCTGAAGCGTCGGTTGCTTCAACGCTGCCAGCAGCTGGGCCTTCGCCCGTACGAGGACACGCCTCGCCAGCCGGAAGGCGTCCGCTCCGATCGCCGCGAGACAACCGCTCGCGAGGCACCCGCTTCGCCGCGGCGAAGCGGGTGCCTCGACGAGCTCGTTCGAGCCGCACGATCCTTCAAGCCGCCGCGAGGACACGCAGTGGTAACTGATTTTTTTTTTATTAAACGTTGAGTGCGGTGCCGCGTGCCTCACTAAACTCTTTACGGGAACCACGGGAACCGACATCTAAACAAAAATTGGCACTGGCGCGCGCCAGAAAACAAACAAAAGATGAGGTAAACGGAACACACGAATCGCGCAAAGAAGAGCAGAAAAACAGAAACCTGTCACCCGCGCCACTTCCTAAGTACTTACTATGACTGACTAACTAACACAAGCAACAAGCCCTCTTCAGAACGCGAAGACGGCGAGCACGACAAAAAGCAAAATGGCGAAGCTTTTGTTTGTTGTTTTGTTGTAGTATCCGAACGGAAGTTACGATTTTGTAAAACGTTTGTAAACAATTGCGACATTCATGTGATGGATTGTTTCTTGAACCTAAAAATATGTAATTCAAAAGGCGATTTCAAGAGATCACGAAGATTTTCGAACCAACATCTAAGCTGTCACTCATTCTATTGGCCAATGAGAAGCCGATTTGAATGACCATGGTTACCAATGAGAAGCCGAGCTGAATGACCTGGAATTTGCGCGCAAATTTTCAAATAAATCTCTCGCCGTCAATATTGCTTTAAAAAATTTTTTTTTTCGCGTAAAATTCATTTTTTGACACGCGTGTCCCTACCAGACTGTTTTAAAAAAACTTTTTTTTTCTTTTCAGGGGCCCTTTAAACAAGTTAACAAAGGCTTATTTCAGTTTTGTTAAAAAAGACGGGATCAAACATGGCTGTGGAATGAAAATTCAATTTGGTTTACATCTATTAATTTTTTAGAGAGCAGCTCTTAGACGCCCGTTTCCGGCTTGAGCGGCATCGCCGTCGCAGTCGCCGTCGGCGTAACCGCGCGTTGCATTATGGGAAACGTCCCATGATGCAACGCGCGGTCGGTGACGGCGACGCCAACATCGCCGTCGGCGTAACCGCGCGTTGCGTTATGGGAAACGTCCCATAATGCAACGCGCTGTCTCATTTGTGACCCGCGCATTGCATTATGGGAAGCGTCTCATGATGCAACGCGCGGGTCGGCGACGCCAACGTCGCCGTCGGCGTAGCCGCGCGTTGAGTTATGGGAAACGTCGTATAATGCAATGTGCAGTCTCATTCGTGACCCGCGCATTGCATTATGGGACGTTTCCTATAATGACATCACAATTGACGTCACATGTGACGTCGCAAGGGTCCCGCACGTTGCATTATGGAAAAAGTCCAATGATGCAACGCGCGGGTCACTCGTGACCTGCGCGTTGCATCGTGGCGGCGAAACTTGCTTTCGATGAGTTGGGCATTTTTACTGCGGCACTGCGCTTCCCTAAAAATGTCCACATGTTCTCAACGGCAAATCTCAGGGCTTACACAGGGTTTTAAAGGGCTTCTTCGACGATTGACTACGAACGAGTAGAAAACATGTCTTCAGCATGTTGCCGCCAGCCTCCGAAACGCTCCAAAAACGCGATTTTTCAACATGCAAAATCGCCGATCGGTGGCTTCACTCTCGTGCTGCGGCTGCAGCGACCAAGCGGGGATGCGCGATCCAGCCCTTTGCCCAGGCAGATGCCGAGCGCTCCGCGCAAGCGGTCGTTCAGCGGTCGGCCTCAGTAAGCGATCCACCCAGTTGCACGCGCTGCCACCGCTTTCATAGCGTCTGCTCTCGCTTTTTAACAGTTTCGGTTCCCATTGCTATTTTGCTGAAAGCATGAAATTCTGATCGGAACTTCATGCTTTGATAAAATGTCCTGCCGTCGTGGCGCTGTACGTTTTGCAAAGGGGCTGTTAAGCAATACCAAACACGCATGCCGTAAAGCGACCGTCATCTCCGCAGGCGAGTTCCATCTGAGGGGAATTTGTCGTATTGTCTTCTAGCAAACGACATACCTAGCTCTTCATCCGAATAGGTGTGCACAACGTCTTCGACGTAACGCCATATCTTGGGCCTCTTCGCTGGCAAGGCGAATGAGTCGGCAAAGACTTCGCCGAGAACGGTTGCCTCGTCGTCACTCGAGCTGGAGCTAAGCTGGTATCTTCGTCGCTGTCGCTGATTTCGCTGCTACTGCGTTTTATTAGACGATGTCAGCGCCGCAGTATGCTCGAGCCAGTCGGTCATGACAAGAGGAACAAAAGCAAGCACAGCAAGAGAGCCCACCCAGCAATCGAAACAAAAAAACAGCGAAACTCCTTCATTTCAACGCGGCAACGTTGATAACGAAACTGAAATGTTGCG